TATTGACTGTGCTGGGGCTGCCATTCCTGCTTCTGGGGAAATTGCTGCCCAGCAGGGGACATGGGTGTGTATTATGGTTTATATGGAGAACAGTCCCCAAAGTCCGTAAGCCAGGAAGATGCACTCATAAGCAGAGCTTCTGGAAGAGGATTGGAGCATGGGCTGTATAGCTGACTTGCTGTTAGCAGGGAGGGTCTGGTCCAAGAGGTGGGTCACTGGGGGTATGACTTGGGAGGGTACATCTCCCTTCCCAGTTCCTACCTCTTTCTCTATTTCCTGGCTGCCATGATTTAAGTTCTTCTTCCACTATACCCCTCTGCCATGCCATTCTGCTTTGGAGCAGGCTGAGTGTGGACTAAACCATGAGCCCAAATAAACCGATCCTCCTTTAAATTGTAGGTGTTGGGCGATGAGAAGGTAACATACTGTGGGATGGTGAACAGTGACAAGTGCCACCACAGAGCTAAGTTTAAAACGAAATGGGAACTCAGTGTGGTGGCCCATGCCTATAATCCCAGTATTCTGGGAAGCCAAGGCAGAAAGATCAAGTTCAAACCCAGCCTAAGCAATTTAGTGATTTAGTGAGCCCTATCTCCAAATATAATATGAAAAAGGGCTGAGGGCTGGGTGTGGTGGCACCTGCCTATAATCTCAGCACTCAAGAGGCTAAGGCAGGAGGACTGCTTTGAGGACAGCCTGGGCTAGTGAGTTCAAAGACAGCATGAACTACATAGTGAGACCCTGTCTTTAAAAAAGGGACGGGGGCTGGGGATGTCACTCAGTGCAAAGGCCCTGGGTTCAATGCTAGTAACATACACACATACCACACACAATGGGATAACTAAAAGTGGTGTAGTTTTGAGGGTACACAGGGAAGCAGCCACAGAAACTATTTTTGCGGAGCTTGGCAAAATAGAAAGGAGCCTTGAAGAGGACAGAGTTTAGGAGGGGTGGTTGGAAAATAGAAGAATGAATATTCAAAGCAGACAAAGTCATCTATGCAAGGACTATGAGAAGCTGAAGAAGAGCAGCCAGGTCCCAAGTGGGAAGCAGCAAATAAGGACAAATAAGGACAAATGATGTCAGACTTGGAAGAGTCCTGGATGCAAAGTTGACATCTGTCTGGTGGCCGCTGCTTGGGAGAAGATGGGATCAGATCTGTTTAGAGCCTTGGAGGAGTCAAGGGGAAGACACTGATGGGAACAGAAAAGGGTGGGCCGCACCTACGACACAGAGATAAGCAGGCTCCGCTAAACATACACAATCTCCTGGAGATAAACACCAGGGCAGAGTCCGATAAGCCTCTGGCCTTTGGAACTCCTCTCTTCCTGGGGCACTGGCAGCAGTCTGAGGCTCACTCTGGACATTAGCTGGCAGTCACAATGACAACAGCATGCATAGTTCAGTGGAGTCCAGAACTCGGCCTGCCTGGATTTGAATAGGGCTCTGCCACTCTGGTGCTGGTTTCTGTCTCTGCAAGCTCGTGTCCTGCTTTAAGGGACAGCACCCACACCAGCACCTACCTCAGACGGTTGGTGTGAGGGCGAAGATTTAATCTATGGTCTTGACACTGGAACACAGCAGACCTGGTAAGTAAATGTCAGCTGTAGCAAGGGGTGAGCCTTCGGTGGGCCCACTCCTAGGAAATTAAAGCTGCTCTGGCTGAAAGGGGATGAGGCCTCCTCTTTTCCCCTGCCCATTCCTTGGAGTAGGGCTTTATGGACCTTTTCTGCCAGGCTGAACGATCCCTGGGCTCTCCCTTCCCGGGGTTAATTTCTACATGGGTTTCCTGAACCCAAGGAGTTGAAGTAGATGCTGATGCCTGAAATCTCTGTTTTTCCTCAGACAGCAGAGTTTCACAACCCAAGCAATACTTGGCATCACCCACCTACAAGCACCAGGACAATCCAGCAAAAACCACACTGGCCAGTGTCAAGCTGGGCAGTGTCTGCATGTGCAGAAAAATTGTCTCTCACCCCAGATTCAAATAACCCTGCTGGTCAGGCGTGGTGGTGGTCCATGCCTGTAATCCCAGCACTTGGGAGGCTGAGGTAGGAGGATTGTTCTGAGTTTGAGGCCAGCCTGGGCTACAAAGTGAGCGCAAGGCCAGGCTGAACTGCATAGCGAGACCCTTCTCAAAAAAACAAACAAACAAAAAAACAAAACAAAATCAAATAACCCTGCTGACCTAGTAAAAGGTTTCCCCAAGAGAGGAAAAAACCTCCCCAACGATATAAAGTTATCATCCTTTCTTGCTACATGAAGTGATCTGGAAGGAAATTCTGATAAAAATGAGTTAATTCATGGTAAGTACTTAACAAATGTTAAGCATGTGACAGACCTTCACTTAGAGCATTTTACTCAAATACAACTCTCCTTACTCCTATTAAAGTAGATATGATACTCAGTGGGCTCCGTGACTGTTCAGAATACATAGAACTGCAGTTTAAAGAAATTCTGAGGTAGGAAGATGGCAAGTTTGAGTCCAGCCCAGGCAATTCAGCAGCTTAGCAAGACCCTGCCTCAGAAAAAAAAAAGCGGGGGAGCGAAAGGAAGGAAGGAAAGGAGGATAGGAGGGACCAGGTATGCAGCTCAGTACAAAGGCTGAGCAATCCCCGGTATCATAAAAAACCCAAGAAAAATTCTCTTGTATCTTTCAGAGAAAAGATGCTTCATATTATGATACACTATATAAATGAGGCAAAAACTAATGCTTTCTAGGTTGGCTCAAGATCACTTTGCCATCATTTTAAAGCCTACAATTTCTAGCTAAGCCAGATCCTGCAGGAACTCCAGCAGTGCTTATAGACCTGGTATCCATCCATCATGTCCACAGTGCTATGCAGTTGAGGATCCTTTCAGAGAACCCTAGTAAGTGAGATTTTATCACAGCACTCCTGACCCCAAATTAACAAGAAAGGAGTGGTTCTGGAGGCAGCCTTCCACTTCCATTCATCAAGGTTAGCTGTTATATTGGGCAGACCGTATACTCTGGGGAGTAACTAGTATCTTATTAAGTTATAAATACACTTAATGAATTCAGTACTGGTTTCTTATTTTTGGAATATGAGGGACAAAAAATAGAACTCATAGTCACTAGAGTCTAAGTAAAAAGCCACTATTTTTTATAACGTGTATTTACCTACAATACTGCCTATGAATTATGTTTTTATAGAGCTTTCATGCGCCTTCAAAGGACAACTGTAACTCTCTTGTAACTGCATCAAGCTATTTACAAGGCTCAACTGGCTTATCTGCTTGGAAAAATTACAAGTGGTACAAGATTTCAAAATCAAATGCTTCGTTTGATTCAACTAGTCAAACCAGTTCAGAAAAGACTAAAGGATTTTTCTCTCCACCCCCACCAGCCCTGTGGTTTCTCCTGAAGAGAAACAAATGCCCATCTTCATTCACTTTTTTTTTTGCAATGCTGGGGATCAAACCCAGGGCCCCAAGCTAGGAAAGCAGTCCACCACTGAGCCACACCCGAGCCTGAGCATTTTCTTAAGAATATTCAATAGCGTTAACAGAAGGAATTTTTCTTTCACTTATGTGCACTGAGAAAGAACGTATCTAAAATCATTTACCAAATAATACCCAAATGTTAAAGCAATCTTGAGCTTACCTCATGTCCAGCTGCTGACCTGGTAATGGGTCCACTGACTGTGGGCAAGTTGTAGGGCTGTGGGCCCCAGATGCCCAGGGATGAGGACTGTCTGAAGGAACGCTTTGGTGGCTGGGTGGGAAGAAGCGGTCCTTAGCTATGAGGAAAGCTAAATAAACTGCACAGGTGTTGTAAGCTCCATATGGGCGACACTCCTCCCATCCCACCCCCTTCTGTTCTCAAACACAAATGAGCCGCTCCATCTTTTTTCTTCATGTGTGGCTCATCTCTAGCCCCACCAGCTCCCACCATTGGGAGGAGTGGAACCTCTGCTTCCTGGACTGTTGGCAACCAGGGGTACAGCGGGTCCCCAACAGGGGTGAAAGATCACTATCTGTGACCAGCTACAGGGGCTGTACTGCTTGTCCTTGCTCAGGACAGATGGGTCTCACCTCAAGTAGAGGCTTGATGTGGTTCTTTGGGATGACTGTCCCCACACAGAGAAGGGCTAGGCTGGCTGAGGCAATCTGGAGCTGGCTTCAAAATCAGCAACAGGGAGGGGGCAAAACCTCACAACAAACATGGGTGACAGAAGGTTTGTGTGGGAAGACAGTTAAGTTTGGTCTAAAACAAGCAGTGTCTCTGGTAATGAGCTGTTAGGAAACCCGTGCGGCCCTCGGTCCTCAGGCTGAGAGCCCTGCCACCGCCTCCCAAGGGCTAGGGTGCTGGGGGGAAGAAATGGGGAGGGCAAAGTGAGGTGAAGCAAAAGCCCCACTAAAGAGCATGAGAACACTACAGAGCCTTGGAAAGAAAACTAGTGTGTGTGATGGCCACCAGGCCTGCTTTTGAATCCTGGCTCTACTTTGTGTCACTGTGCAATCTACCTTGTCTAAGTCACAGCTGGCTCCTTTGTGAAATGGGGACATGTAAGGCATCAGCCAGGGTCCTGGCAGGAAACAGACACAAGGACAGCAAGGCACCTGAGGCTGCCAAAAGCAGGGAGTCAAGGACCAATACTGGGCTTGAAGGGACAAGCGGAGGGTGTGGCACCAAACCTCAGAAGTTGCCGACTGGAGCCCTGGTCCCTGGCAGAGAAGCCTAGCCATTGCCAACCCACAGCTGGGACAGCACTGGGGAGTGAATTCCCTGGCTTCTCTCAGCTGCCAAGCTCTGCTCTGTGTCTGCTGGATCCTGAGCAGCTGCCAGGGCAGATGCCCAGGGCCAACCTCCTGAGGGGAAGAGAGGGTGAGGAGGTGACCTGGGGAGCACTCTCCTGCGGGCCTGGATGTGGCAGGAGGAGTTGACAACAAGCAGTCATCATAAATGCCTGGCACAGTAACATTCACTTACTGTCCCATGTGATCAGACTATTTGGCATTTACTTATTCAAAGGCCATACATAATGCAACTTTATTCTTAGTGGCAAAAGCCAGAATGAAAACAAGACATGGTCATTTAATCAGAGTGAAAAGCAAAACTTTTACAAAACTGACAGATAACATTTATTAAAACATGTCATACAAAAGGGTATGGGCTCTTCTATAAGAAGAAAATATTAAACAGTAACATTCAATTAAGTAAAACCATGCTGTACACTGAAGACAGCAATTATATAAAGACAAAACTATTCAACTTTTGCAACACAGGCATAACATTTCACAAAATATCAATGAAATATGCACCTAATGATAATCTGTTTATCATCAAATGGTTTTGCCGCCTAAGAGTCACCTGACTTGCATAAATAATTTTCTGGAAGAAACATTGGGAACCTCATAAAACGAAAGAAGGCAGCAGCAACTGACATGACACAGGCTTCAAGCAAAATTTAAAATAAAAAAAGTCACATTTGCAAAATGTGTTCCAGCATCTTCCCAAAGGGCACTATCAGTAGAGATTTGAAATAAGAAACTTGTACCTTTAAATGTGTAAGTAGCAAAGGAAAAAACCTGAACAAACCCTGGTTTCACTGAACAAAGTCACTCATGAAAGCAACCTAAATTATAAAAATTAGTGGCACAGAAAGGGGCTGACGACTAACACATCCCTTGGTTTCCGGCATTCCTTAAGTATCAGAGTGCTGCCATGAGCAAACACCTGGGGTTGTGGCAGAGGTGCCTCTTCCACCCCACCTGAAGCTGCAGCACATACTCCCCAGGACAGCACAGGCCTGCTGTGCCTCAACCTCCCTTCCACGACAGTCTGGGGCGTGGCAGCCTCTGTAGAAAGGAGCTACTTGGAGCACACAACTTTCCCAAATAGCTGGAAGCCTGCCCAGGGTCAGTGAATTCAGCAAATGGAGGGAGCTCTTTAGAATAAAGGGAGCCCTTTTGTGCAAAGTCCTTTAAAGCAAAGAGTGGCCTAAAGGAAGTAGAGATGAGATCTAGAAATCAGAACACAGGCTGGGAGCTCAGGAGTGGGCAACCACAGTATGTGGAACAGTTAGTCTTCTTCAGTTGGACAGCGAGACCTACATTACCAAGTGAGTTACTGTGATGTGTTCTCCTAAAATTAAAGGTGTGATACGCAGAATATTAAATGCCATTGGTGTCTTGTCTTGAAGCCCTTCCCCACTAGGACTGGAAAAAAAATCCAGTTAAGACTCATCGTAGGGGACAAGCATCTTGGTTGTAGGCCACTGAAACAAACCTTGAAAGATTGTTTTAAAAACTGTCACCCAGAATTACCCAAACTCATCTGGAAGGATAAGAATTTCCTAAAGCTGTTTTTTTCTAAGAGGAGAGACTATCACTGCAACCTAGGTGTGGGAAGAGGGAGGCATGAATGCAGTACGGTCTCTTAATCCTAAAAAGCAGAATTGAAAAACATTCACTATGAATGTCTGGACTAAGGCTACCCCTTTCCCTGTCTCCTGAACATGGCCGGCATCTCAGATACCCAACCATCTCAGAGTCTGGCTGACCAATAAACAACCCAACTATCACAAAAAATTAAAGATAGCAGATGTGAGGAACTTATTTAAGTTCTACATTTAGCAGCTGATATACATATATGGATTTCGATTAGATACTCTTCAAGCACATTAAATAAGTCCCAGAACAATGGACTGCTTCCAAACTGTCACCTAGGGGCTGGCCATACTTCTGGCTGAACAAGTTCTTTGTTCCCACTCAGAACCAGGGTGCTGATTCAGCATAACTGAAGAACCATGACTTTCCCACAATATTCTTATTTTACCGCCCAGACTCTTCTCCCCAAACGTCCCAATGCTCATTTAAACGCAACTTTTAATAGGAAATAGCACACCAAACCTTTTCAAAAGAAGAAACTGTTTTGCTAATACCATGGAAGCAGTGATCAGCTTTTGGCAGAATGGAATGGCTTCACTGTCTTAGTATGGAAATTTGTAGGAGCAATAAAAGAACTTCTCACACATGATGGCCAGGATTACACCTAAAACCCATCGGCCTCTAACATGAGAAAAAGAATAACTGAGTTCTGATTGTACAGTCACCTTTATACACTCTGTCAGGTACACAGAGGAAGGACTGTTAACCGGCAAGTTTCAACACTAAGAGAAGATGATATCAATGTGGCAAACAACCAAGAGGTAATATCTAGTTTCTAGGTTAAAAAAACTATATATATATATTTATAATAAAGTTTTAAATACAAAGTGCTTTTTATATATTGAGAATGATACAGTGTTAGTGAATAGATCCCTGTTTTGTAATCTTGATTACAAGAATTAACTGGTTGGTAAGTACTTTCTTTCCCCTTTCCAGATAATGTCCAACAGGTGAACACCTTGGTGTTCGGAGCTTAAGGATTAGAGGCCGTTGCCAGCCATGCTTATCATATTAGAGCAAAGCCAAACTTTTAAAACAAAATTTCACCCCAAATCCAACAGAAATTATTTTTAAGAAAAAAAAGTTCCTACTTAGAAGGAATACACCAGTAATTTTATGGGAAGATGATGTAATAGTAGCACCCTGTCCTACGCTGGTAATAATCTCATGTATGCTACACAGTTTAAAAGCATTTTGAATATATGCCTTCTTTTGAACCTAAAACACCTGACCAATCAGTAGAAAAGGTCTCAGAATAGCTGCTTTTCTTGTTGTTGTTGTTTTTTTTTTTGCTATGTATACTATGTGGACTTGTAAATTTGTGCAGCTTTTATCCGTAACTTGGGAGCATGAATCTGTAGAATATTTTGCTAAAATTAGGACTCCTTCATTCCCCTTTTAACACATATTCTAGCACTTATAAAGAACTGGCAGTATTAGCTCAGCGTACCCCTCTGAAAAATATCCTCCTACACCAGTGTATTTTCAAGACACTTCTTGGGTACTTTCAACCTCCCCTCATTTAAGTATAACCCACACTCGTAAGGTTATGCATTTTCCCAATTCTCACTTTGACAATGGGAGTATTCCTGGAGCACTCTGTTAACTCCTAAAGTCCACCTACAGGTAACCCTCAGCCATGACTTCTGGCTCCTTCCCATGAACAGTGGTCACTGGCTGCCCTTGTTGAGAAGCACCATAAACTAAGAGCAACAGATGGGGTGCTCCATGTACCATTGTCCTCTGGCCACTCACAGCAGGTTAGACATCTCTTAAGAGTAGAACTCACTGCACAGACGCTATAATTAAATAGCATATGGGGCAGCAAACCAATTAGAAACACTTCTGGCACCCAAAAGAATTACAACATACAACAGTTCAACTCAACCTTAGTACTAATACAAAACTGTGCCTTATCAAAGAATTTGAAACATGACAGTGACATCTTACAGAAATTGAAGCTTGTACCATAAGTTATTTCAGACTAAAATGTCATCCTGCTAGTATCTCTGTAGTTTTAGTTAAAATACCCTTTAAAAAGAAAAAAAAACCAGACAATTTCTCATCCTAGGAATGTTATTTGTAGCTTTTACCTAAGTAGCATTTCAATCAGTGAAGCAGCTACCAAAACAAATCCACATTACCTAAGTATGTATAGTAAAAGCAAACAAAACAAAATTTCAACATGACCTTGTAATAATGAGTGACCAAAAACTGCTGCCACCTGAAATGGAACTGCTGGGATGGAGTCCAGTTCCAAGTGCAGGTCTCTCCATCAAGTTCACCTGCCTCAATCATAACTGGCTTAAAGGTTTCCCTTGCCAGCTAAGCAGTGGGTTAACATATCACCATTACCCATTCCAAGCCAGGACTGAACATACAAATTTGAGGAATTAGATTTTTTAATTGGCCTACTTAGAGCTGGTCTTTCAGAAATATCTTCCTTTTTTTTTTAAAGCTTCTCTCATAATAGCAAGTAGCACGCATCATCTGTGCCCAGATTTGCATTAATTACCATAGTTTATTTTTGTGCATGCCACTCAAGGGCCAGATCCTATTTTTAGTTAGCCTCAGTTGTATTCTGCTCAGCCTTTGCAGCTTCATAGGACTTAGTACAAGAAGTCACATGCCTGTGGAAACTGTCCCTCCACATAAATCTCTTTGTACAGATATTACACTCATACGGCTTTATGCCTGTATGAATTTTCATGTGGCCCACGAGATGGTGCTTCATTTTGAATTTCTTACCACAGACACCACAGCCATAAGGCCGAAGACCAAGGTGCATGCTCATGTGTCGATCTCTCTGACTCTTGTGGGTGAAACTTTTCCCACACTGACAAGGATACAGCTTGTCAGTGGCTGAGAATCCTAAGTGAGAAGCTTCTTCTTTAATCCCTGCTACCATTTCAATATTCTCACTGTAGCCTGCTGTGAGGGTAGCCTCCTGTCTGTGCCCAATTAGATTCCCATCTGACCTCTCTCCAGAAAACTCTTCCATGGAAGAGCCATAGAAATCCACCTGCTCATCATAATTGCTTTCATCAGCTTGTTCATCAAACTCTGCTTCCACTTTCTTCTCCCTGATGTGAAAGTCCTCCTCCACGCCTGAAGGCTGGACCGAGTGCTCCGTCTGCATGGTATTGATAGACTCAGTAACTTGGTGCTCATCATAGGTGGCATGCACGTCCATGCCCTCGCAAGCCTGTTCCAGGCGCTCAGGCTTCACGTGGATCCAGCGTTTGTGGGCCATTATGCTGGGCTTGCTGTACATGGGCCGGGTGTAGTGGAACTCAGCACTGTCGCTAGCCCCCTCCTCTCCATCCTGGCTTGCCATTTCAGTGCTCAGCCGGTCATGCTCCGTGGATGAGTTGCTGGGCAGGTATTCATGCTCAGTGAGCTGAGACGACAGCTCGTCTTTGGTGCTTTCTTCTTCATTCTCTCCATCCCTCAGTTCTTGGGCTTTGGGGAAATCAGTGTGGCCCCCAGAGCCCAGTTCAAAGCTCTCTACCAGGCCATTGTAACTACTACTGCTTGGAGACTGGTGGTCACTGCCATGATTTAGCTTCTGACAAAGGACTGTAGGGTTTCCCTCTAAAACCTCAGTGCATTTATCCACCACATGCCACATCTGGAGGAAGCTGGCTGCTGTTAAGTAACTAACAATTTCTGGAGCAGGCATTACTAGGCGACCTGTGTAACTAGACAAGAGAATGTTCTCAAACACTCTTGGGTTCATCACATCAGGCAGAACAATTCTCCTGCTGTTTTTCAGGAGTACTTGGTCACAAAAGTAGGGTGAACTGGCAGCAAGAACGGCTTTGTGTGCCTGGAAAATGTGGCCCTGGACAACAATAGAGACGTCACATAATTGCCCTTGCTGGCGCTGCTGGTTCAGTTTCTGCAGAATAGTGCTGGAAAAATCAGGAAATTCTACTCGAAAGGAGTTTGTCCCAGGCTCCATTTCATCACAAATCTTGACTAGTACTACAAGAGAAAGAAAAAAATGGTATTAATTCCAGCCCACAGAGAAACTTAATCTATCTTCCCTCTCCCTCATTCAGAAAAGTAAGACAAACTCCCAAGTTCCATAGTCTTTCTGAATTTGGGCACTAGGAGGTAGAGATTCCCGCCCCAGAGCAATGCTTACTTGTGTGAGGGTGCCATAAGTTGGAGCCACCCAACACCCTTCACAGTATTAATTCTTAATTTTGCCCCTCTGTCTATGGATAAGAAAATAATACCTACAGTGGCTGTACTTGTAAGCTACACAAATCCCCTAAGCAAAACATAGTAATTATTTCTAATCAAAACAAACATTGATTCCTATAAAAACTGAACTTTAAGCCTCAGATTCAACTCATGCTTGCCAAGTTGTGGTGAGAGAGGGAGAATTGTGAGAAGAGGACTGGGAGTGTAGCCCAGTGGTACAATGCTTGCTTATGACACCAAGGCCCTGGATTTAATCCCCAGCACCAACAGAAAAAAATTCTGGGAAGAAGGAAATGGACCTAGAAAGGCTTTCATGTAGGAATGAATCTGGTAACTCCACAAAAAGGAGACCAGGGGACTGGAGTAGTGGGGCTAAGACAATTGTGCCTTTGCTTTTTCTGCATCAAAGGGGTTACTCGCTGAGGCCCAAACAATGCAGGTTTCTCTAGCTGCTGTGGGAATTTTAGCCCTCTAAGAGCTTCTGATGATGAAAGGCAGCTATCTATCTGGGGGTCTCCAAACTGTTTAAAGAATTATAGACTAAGGAGGATAGTAAACATTGTCCTTGCGGCTGAATGGACTCAACTGAAGAAAAAGCTATAGCAAAGAATAAACGACTACCTGTGTTGTTACTGTACATACATTTTGTGAAACATGTTCTACATTAGAAGATTATTCCTAACAATACAAGATGAACTCTGCAGAGATCTGCCCATACCCATAATTCTGTAGTAAATTAAAGCAGACAAAAACAGCCAAATGATGTATTGCTATTTGTCACTTTGCTCTGACACCAGAATCAAACATTCACTGCTAAATACCAAGTTTTCTAACTATGAGATAAAGAACCAGACAACTCAAACACTGTAAGCCATCCTTCAAGGACAGGGAGAGAAGATAAGAGAAGAAATTAGTGTTATTTCAGAGAATTATTATATGCCAGAGACTGCATACCTTTTTTTTTTCATTTTAGTCTTTATAATTACTCTGTAAATGTAGGGTTTAATATTTTTAAGTTCAGCTATTATAAGTAACTTTCCCAAGGTTAAAAGCTAGTTTTTATTAAGTTGAGATAGGAATTCAGGTCAGTATGACTCCAAAACCTGGAATGTTTTTCCTGTCACATCACTCTGCCTCCTCTCAGATGACGCCAAAATGTTAGATCAGTCATTAGTAATTTTAAGACACTGTTTTTAGAACAAAACATTAACTTATGGTTTTACACATCTTAAGACATTTCATAGCAAAACAGTACATAAAATAGACTATTTAGGTATCTGTAATTTCAAAAGGAAAAGATGACTACGTAAATGTATAGACTGGAAGGCTACACTTAAATTCTGAGTACTACCTCTGAGTGAACATATTTTCTGCTAGTTTTTAACCACTGTAGAATTTTGGTTTTAACCATTTGGAAAAGAGGGGCAAGATAATGACTGCACATGTAAAATAACAATTACAAGTATAAAATTTTTTTCTTCATCATTTATTCCTAGTCAGCCCCAAAGAAAATCACCACTAACAAACTCTTGTATAACTTTCTAGAAACTTTTTTGTGCACATATCAGAATGAGTCACATACAGCCTTAAAAATCCTCACCCAGATGGTTTTATTACCTGCTTTTCACTTTGTACTTGGTCTTCAACATTTTTTTTTTTGGTACCGGGAATTGAACTCAGGACCTTGCGCTTGTTGGGCAGGCACTTGTGCTGCTGAGCTATATCCCGGGCTCCCAAGTCTTCAACATTTAATATACCTTGAGGGGAGGGGGTCTTTTCAACATTACCAAAGAGGTGCTGATCTTGTTTAATAGTCACATAGCTTTCTAGAGCATGGATATTTTCTAATTCAAGCATTTGTCATCTTACAGAATTTCAATTGTCTGGGTTTCCCAAATTTTAATCAATACTACAATGAATACTGGTATACAACTACTTTGATATATATTTCTGAAAATATAGCACAATGTCCACCAGTGGAACTGTTTGGGTCAAAGGTCTTTGCATTTGACATTCTGGTATGTATTACCAAACTACTTTCCAGGAAGCTTGTACCAAGTCACACTAATACTAACAGTAAGTGATAGTGTCTACTTTTCACACCTTCTCTAAAACTGGATGTTATTAAATCAGAAAAAAATTCTGCAAAGCTCCTGAGTGAATAACCTATGATTCACTGCTACTTTGATCTGCATTTCCTTAATCAGAAATAAGACTGATACTCTGTACTCAAGTTACTGGTCATTTGTACTTTTTTTCTATAAATTATCAGTTACAACCTTTGCTCAAATAAATTGGGCAAGCAATATTGATTTTTAAGGGTTTCTGTTAAATTCAGGAAATTAACTTCACCCTGTGTTGCAATTTTTTTTAAATTAGCTAATATTATTGAACTTGTTGGTACAGTGGGATTTACGATAAAATAACCATTCTTTTTGATTTTATGGCTCTAGAGTTTTATAACAGACATAAAAGGGCACTCTGAACTCCAAATTATAATTATTATAAATAATAAAATACTCCTTGTAAACCCAGGAGAAACTACTAAGAAAATCATTAAAAATATAGTTGAAAACAAAAAGAGACTCAAAACCATATTAGACACACAGACACACACAAAGAAATAAAAAAACTAAGAAAAAGAGAAAAAAACCAACATGGTACACTACTATAAAAAATAATAAAAGGAGATTTGGGGTGGCTGTATTATCAGAAACAATAGGTTTTAAGTTGAAAGAACTACAAAAAGGTAAAGGACATTATACATTCACTTAAAAGGTTACTCCAACAAGAAGCTGTAACAATTACAAACATTTACACCTAACAAGCAAACATCAAAATACATGAAGCAAAAATAGACAGAACTATAGGAAGAAATAAAAACTATACAATACTATAGGCAAAAATACTATAGGCAAAAATAGACAGAACTATAGGAAGAAATAGACAGAACTATAGGAAGAAATAAAAACTATACAAAAATAGACAGAACTATAGGAAGAAATATAGAATGTCAATAACAGTTCGACAATAACAGGTGAAGATTTCAACTTTTAAGAATGGAGAGAAAAACAACAGAAAATCTGTAAAGAAAGTAAAGGTTTGGACAACGTTACAAACCAATTAGACCTAAGACATCCAACAAGTGTACCTGGAACATTCTCCAGGATAGTCCACATGTCAGGCGATAAAACAAGTCAACACATTTTAAAAGACTGAAATCATACAAAGCATTTTTTTTTTCTGACTGACCACAATAAAATGAAACTAGAAATCAAAATCAGAAAGGAAAGTAAAAAACTGACAAACATGGAAATCAAACACCACCCATAAACAATCAACAGGTCACTGAAAATATCATAGGAGAAATTAGAAAATACCTTGAGACAAATTAGAACTAAATTACAACAAAAATTCATGAGATAAGCAAAACTAGTACTTGGAGAGAAATTAATAAACACCTACATTAAAAAACATCTCAAATTAATAATCCAGCCTTACATTTTAATGATATAAGAAAAGGGCAAACTAAACTAAAAGTCACTCAAAGGAAGGAAATAATAGAGTGAAGGACAGAGCCAGGCACGGCAATGTATACCTATAATCCCACCACTGTGTGGAGACTGAGGCAGGAAGATTGTCTCGAGTTTGAGGGCAGCCTGGGTTCCACAGTGAATGGCTAGCCTGAATGATATAGTGAGACCCTGTCTCCAAAACCAAATAGAACCGAACCAAACCGAACCAAACCAGACCAGACCAGACCAGACCAAACCAAACCAAGCCAAACCAACAACAAAAAACTTCAACCTTGGTACAAATATCAAAATACTAGCACATCAAACTTAGCAGCACATTAAAAGAATTGTACACATGACCAAGTGAGATTTATTCCTTAACTACAAGAATAATTTAATGTAAGAAAGCGTCAATATAACATATCATATTAACAGAATAAGATGGTGGTAGGGATACCCATACTTTTTTTTTTTTAAAGATAGGGTCACTATGTAGTCCAGGCTGGCCTTGAACTTATGATGTAGTGCAGGCTGGCCTCCAACTCACAGCCTCAGTCTTCCGGAATGCTGTTTACTACAGGTATGTGCCACCATGCCCAGCATTCAAATCCTCTTCTTAATCCTCCCTGCTTCCCCAGACAACATGCAAAAATAGCATCTGACAAAATTCAACAGCCTTTCATGAAAAATCATTCAAGAAATTAGAAACACTGTACAAGGAAAGCATTTCAACATAATAAAAACTATACATGAGCCAGGCATGGCAGTGCATGCCTATAATCCCTCAGGCTCAGGAGGCTGAGGCAGGAGGTTTGTCTCAAGTTCCAGGCCAACCTGTGCTACACAGTGAGTTCAAGACCAGCCTGAATTACATAGCGAGACCCTGTCCCAAAAAACCAAAAGCAAAACCGTACATGAAAAAAAAACAAAACTATAGATAACAATCAATAGTGAAAGTATGAAAGATTTTCCTCTCAGGATCAGGAATATGACAAAAATGCCTGCTTTTACCACTTTTATTCAACACAGTACTAGAAATTCCAGCCAAAGAAATGAAACAAGAAATAAATGACAATTAAATTGGAAAGAACACAGCAAAATTATCTTCGTTCACAAATCATATGACTATTTCTGTAGAAAACTCTTTGAGATTCCACAAAGCTGTTAGTACTAATAAATTCAACAAAAGAGCAGGATATAACATCAAAGAAAAATCAGTTGCATTTCTATACACAATGGACAAACCAAAGTCAGCAATGA